CTCTAGTATGGATTGCTCCCAATCCATTTGCCTGCATGACCCTCAGAATAAGTTCAAATCCTGAATAGGGATGTATCAGCTAAAGTCTACTTAGGAAAACAGAATCCATTCTAGGTATTTCACACTGGAAGAGGTTTCATTCAAGGACTGTGGTACTTTCTGAAAGTTAAGATATTGTAAGAACTGAAGGAAACAGCTGAAGATGCTCAGACTACCTTATTGGTTTCATGTGCATGAGTCTCAGTAGTAACAAGGACCTCTGTTTAAAGGAGATTCTAAAAATGTGGTTGTCAGGCTTCTACTCCCTGCAGTGTAGGGAAGAGCATAGAAGCAGGGCATGGTGATGAGTGGCTCATAGACAATTCAGGGCAATGATCTGTAAGACCATGAATGATCTACTCCACTCCCACTGTTCAGCTTCAGTTCTCCCATTCTTTACCACTAATCCTTATTCCACACTACTAGGCCCATAATTGTAGACATACTAGAGTATTTTTTTTTCAGAGTCCTAAAACAGTTAACATTTATAAGCTCATGGTTTCTTTGTGTTGGAGATTTGGGAGCAACTAATCTGAGTGGTTCTGGCTCAGACTCTCTCATGCTGCAGGCACGATGTCGGTCAAGGCTGTAATCATCTGAAGGCTTGACTAAGGCTGGAGGATTCTCTTCTAAGTGTTTTAGCTCCCCCTTTTTTGGCGGGACCACTTTGCCTGGTGTCTGTCTGGGGTCCAGAACCTGAGATGAGGATTCTTGGAAAGTGACACATCAGATGTATGAAATAAAAACCTATGTAATTGAATAACTGAATGAACCCCTTTTCTGATAGAGAATTAAAATGCTTAGCCTCCCTGGGCCATGTCCATTTCTGGAGAGCCAACTGAGCAGGAGCCATGTTGTCCCATAAACCATAGGACTGGGAAAAGCCCAGAACAAGTTTCCACATCTTGAGGCAGCACCTCAACATCCATGTGACCTATTCAGGCTTTTTATTACAAAAATACAAATTAAATGTATTTTTCCTTTGTGGGTAGGGGACTATTAATATTAACATATTATATATATATATATATATATATATATATATATATATATATATATGTATGTATATATATTTAAATTGGAACTTAGCTCAAATTTCAATGAGCTCTTGACTAAAAGTACATTTTTTTCTGGGTTGCCACATCCTGGCTGGGTGCATACTGTTACATAGGAGTCATGAGGGAAGCACTACCATTTGCAATATTAATTTTAATCTGAACATTTGTTTCCTTCAAGAGATTCAAGCATTGGATTTCAGTTCAGACAACTTGTACTTTTGGACAAGGGCATATTGTCCATAATGATAGCAGAGTTGCTCCCCCCTTTCTTCAATACATGGAAGAAAAAGGGAGCCACTGAGACCCCCTGCTTTCATGGGTTATCATTTTCCCAAAATTGTTAAGTTAGAAAAGTATGAAGAAAAGCTAAGAAATCTCCCTGGTTTGTTCTGCTTTCCAGCTGCTAAGTCTAACGTAAACCTCATATTACGTTGCATGAAAGAAAGTGAAATAGTTTATTGGGAAGAAAGGCTTTTGCATGTCTAAATCTAATCTTTAGTCTCCCCCCATACAAGGCTAGTTTTCTTTCCCCATCTCTTTTCCTCAGATAATTTCTGGCTCTGGTGAGGCTCTGCTTTTCCAGGCTCTTCCTGTTTCCTCATGAGATTCACTCCTTTGTATGTTCAACAGATGGACCCATTTAGAATCATTCATGGACCAGTAGAAAAGGGTGCGGAGGTCTTAAGTTTCTTTGTACAGAGATTGATGCTTCCATCCAGCCTGACATAATGCTGAGGAGATGTTGGTTACTAGTCATATGCTAGAAAACCTAGGCCTCTGTATGCCATTTCAGGAAGATATATATGTAAATGATAGAAGAAATTCAGACACATCCCACAACTGCTTTCTTATCCTTTCCAATCCCCAACCCATTGTTATTTGTGTTTTTAGAGGTGGTTAAGAGAAAATGAAGGCAATGACAAGCATAGCTACTACTGTTATACTCAGAAACGTCATTAAAAAAAGAGGATCCAATTTATCATTTCTTTTTTAAAAAAAATATTTATTTTATTGTTTTTTTACAGAGAGGAAGGGAGAGAGATAGAGAGCTAGAAATGTCGATGAGAGAGAAACATCGACTAGCCGCCTCCTGCACACCTCCTACTGGGGATGTGCCCGCAACCAACGTACATGCCCCTGACCAGAATCGAACCCGGGACCTTTCAGTCTGCAGACTGTCGCTCTACCACTGAGCCAAACCGGTTTCGGCTAATTTATCATTTCTTTTAATATTTTCACAAGAAGTAGACTTCATTCATCCCTATAGGAAAGAGAGCCTTAGGGAAAATGCTTCTCTCTGTCTGCCTGGCAGTAAAAGGGAGCTGACCAATTGAAAGGCAGAGTAATTGACTGACTGCTCTGTCTTTTCTTTTCTCTCTGCTTGGCTGGTGGAATGTGCAGTGCACCTGAAGTACCTGCAGGGGACTGCGCACATAGGCTTGGGGCCAGAACATGTGTTCCAAGCAATAGATTTCAGGTAGAAGGCAACAAAGGGCCTTGGGCCCAATTTGTAATTCTTTAGTAGAATTCATGGGAAACCCTTCATTTGGGGGTTTACTGGGCCATCATTCAGCCATTAATAAAACTGACAGGAGGCTGGCAGATCTTCAAGTAAGATGACATTTGTCAGAATCCCCAGGAAGGTGGGTGAGGGCCTGCATTCCCCAGACTCCTGACAGTGAAGGCTCCTACAAGGCTTGCTTGGATGTTTCCCACATGCTTCAAACTCAGTAGGCCTCAAAGTGAGCTCCCTCTCACACCTGCTTTTCCTGTGGTTTCCTTCTTGATGATTGGCCTCAGTGTTCTCGTGGTACTCCAGGCTGATATTCTGGGTATTGGAGCATAGGAAGCGCTTTGAGCCTCCTTTCTCACCATCCCAATGTAGTGCCCCTTTGGTTGGCTTGTTTATCACTCAGATCTCAGCTGGGATATCACCTTCACCCGAATCTTTGCTGACCCAGAAGGCTGAGTGCTTCTGGAGCTCTCACACTTCCCTTCCACCATCCTGATTCCACTGAAGCATGTTTGCCCCATCATTTCTCTGCCTTTCCCACTAGACTTCAAACTCCTTGTAAGCAAACTCCTCTGGGGCTTGATCATCCTTTAATACCAGTGCCAGCGTAGGGTCTTCCTGTAGTAGCTGTTCAATAGATATTTCTTGGCACAGGAAATATAAAGCATAGTGGTTATAACAAGCCTAGCATTAGGAGCTGAGGCCTGGGTTCAGACCCTTCTATTTGTTTGATTTTGAGTGAGTTCCTTCTCAATCCTCAATTTTTTCAATAATAATATGGGGATATTAACTATGATGAAATGACATAATCCATGCAAAGCACCTATTGTAGAATAACGTGTAAATAGGGGTGTCGAACTCAATCAGAGAAGGGGCCAAAATCTAAAATCCAGCCTAAATCGCGGGCCAAATGGTTTACTGAACAGCCATAAACTGTCATTGTGATGGAAACGCAGCGGAGTGCAGTGATGACAGCGCGGTGCAGGCCACATTGCAAGGCCTGGCGGGACGGATTTGGCCCGCGGGCCTTGTGTTTGACACATGTGGTGTAACACATAGTAAGTGTTCTGTGTTTTGCAGTATCTAATAATAATAAGTCATAATAATACAGTTAGGCTTAATGGAAAGGAGGAAACTATAAGAAAAAGTTGGAACTAAAAATCGGGCATGTTGAGTCCTTGTAAAATGGGCTTGGAATAGGTGGGAGTTGTTTTTGAACCAAGGTTTCTAGATAGGGTGGTGAAAATGTAGGAGCAGATGGGATTACTCTGGGAAGAATGAAGAGGGAGGGAAAAATCAGGCAGGTAACTGATGACAGAACCTTGAGAAATCTTACGTCTGGGGAATAATAAGAGAAGTCAACAGGAAAGAAAGATAATGATTTTAGTAGGAGATCACAGTTCATCAGATGCCAGGGACTGATCTAGAGAATACTGCAAGAGGCCACTAGAATCAGCCAAATGGGAGAGCATTAGTGTCCTGAGATACAAGCCATTTCAGCAGAGTCAGGAAGAAAGAAGCCACATTCAGAAGAGGCTAGGTTAGGGATGAAGGGGCGACACTAAGGCTGGCTCTTATGCTGTAATGTGTACTTGAGTAACACAGATTAGTTTGTGGGTAAATAGATGACTGATGTCAGTATAATGTGGCTGTTACTTTGGTTTGCATGAAGCTCCTCCTACCCCCAAAGTTACTCTTTTGCATCCCTGGCCAGTAGCAGCTGAAAACAAAGTGCTCTAGCACAGCTGAATGTAGCAGCCTGGGGCTGGGGGAATGAGGGGACATGGTACACAGTCTCCCTGGGTCTTCTGCTTGGCTCTTTGGTGGCTGCTCTGTCTAGAAGGGTTTGGGGCAGTCTTTGCCCTTCTTTTGTATCACTTAGCAGCCAAAAGCCCTGTTTACTCCTTCCATCATCATGCTTACCTTCCCTTACCTTATGTAAGGTAAGAAGTCATAGCTACTGGAATGTTTCTTTATTAGGAATTTAATATATGCTTTGAAATTCCGGTGTTTTAAATTATGATTATTGTTTTTGTTAGTGCCTGGGATAAAATTTTAACTTCTTTCCCAGCCCTATGTTTTCCCAGTAAGCTTTGTTATTTTCAGTTTGAACTTGTGAAGTGTTAGTTTTTTTGAATATATATGTCCACTTATAGAATACATCCTTTTGACTCCTTTCCCTAAGATTCAACAATGCTAGAAGGAAGGGTGGGAGGCAAGAGTAGGGTCTTTGGAAGGTTTTCTCAAGGATAAGCAGACTTGCCTATGCTTGGTTGCAACTTGGTCTAAATCAATTTCCTCAAAGCGACTGTTTTCTTAAGTGCTCCTCTTTATATATTTGGGTGGTTATGGTTTGACATTTTTATCCTCTCTCTCATATTTTGCTGTAGTCTGAACAAGCATCTGAGGCCGAGCTACACCCCCAGCTGAACAGAGCCCCCTCGCAAGCTGCAGAGAGTAGTCCAACAAAGAAGGTAAGGCCAGAAAAGGGGTGTCACTGGGGTGGCATTGTGAGCCCTCCATGGGGCTTTTTTGTCTCTGTAAGCGCATCTACCAACCCAGATTTCCTAGAATTTGGGTTCTTTGTGAAGATGGGGTCCAGATGACTCCTGGGCTGGATCTTGATGTCACTCACAGTTTGTACTTTCCTCTTCAACCTCCCAGCTAAGTATGGCGGCTTTGCTGTCAGTAAGACTAAGAGGTGAGGTAGGGAAGGACAGATGCCTTTTTCAGAATCCCACATACTGCTAAGCCCCTAGGAGTACCTTTTTGGGGGCGTGGTAGTCTTCCCATCCTTGTCTTTGTGCTGTGGTCTCTTCTGCTTCTCAGCATCTTCACCTCAGCCTATGTGCGTACCTGAGTCCTGCGTCATTTGCTCAGTAAACACCACTCACTCATGGTGGTGTCCTTTCATTTTCTCAACCCTCTTCTTGTCCTTCCACACTTTCTCAGGTCCTTCTCTCATGAGAGAGATTGAGCTCTGGGCTCAGGAACACAGGTAAAGCAGGGGCCTTCAAGGAATCAGGGCAACTGTCTCCTTCCAGAAGACACCATGGCTCTTGAGCTTGATTTCATGTAGCAACTGGGGTAGGAGAATTCTTAACTTATGACTAAGAACATTACAAACTTCAAAACTATATTCCAAAAAGCCCCAAAGTGGAGCAAGAGTGAGTTTTCTTCAGTAGAAAAGGCTCTGTGCTGTGAGATGCACACGGCATTTAAAATAGGAAAGAAAAGAGTTGGTGGACCCCTGAAATCTGATTCTTGTGTCCCTCTGGGTGACAAAAAAGATAATAGGCTGCAAGCATAAAAAAAGGAGGAATGAAACAAAGTCCACTGAAATCTGATGCCCATGTCCCTCTAACTTTTACCTAGCTGAGAATCAGTCACATATTGTTGGATGCAGAGTTTCAATAGAACACATGCCTGATCTTGGGTTGGCTTAGAGGGACATAGGACATTGGCATGGTAGGGGAATAATTAAAATAATTAATTTTTTAACTTTTTTTTTTTTTTTTAAATTTTGTTCTTAATCTGCAGGACACACCATACTCTCAGCCTCCATCAAAGCCCATCCGTAGGAAATTACGACCGGAAAATCAAGCTACAGAAAATCAAGAACCTTCTACTACCGTTGGCGGGTCAGTGTCTGTAGCAACCATGAAACCCCATCCAACAGTCCAGAAGTAAGTAAAACAGATAAGTGAGAGCAGGACAGAGGCTTCCTTTTAAATTTTCATGTATATGTAAATGTAGATGTTTACATTTATACTCATACCATAAAAGGGTGTGATTTTATGGATGTAGTTTTACCTTACTTATTTCTGTGATGGGATTACCATTTTCCAGTCACATAGAAAGAGACTTCTAAGCTCTAGGACATATCCTGACACAAAGGGCAAGTGAGGACAAGGCCATGGTATGTTTTTTTTCCCTTCCACTTCTTCTGACCTCTCTTCCTTGTACTGGCCCACATTTTCTCAGGAAGAAGACAGTAATATAAATGGAAGTTTTCTCTTTGCCTGTCTTATTTCATGCTTCCCCATGGCAAATAGCTTCATGACCCTCAGGCCCAACTTTCAGTAGATGTGATATCTTTTTAAAAATTATAAAAAATAATTTATTATAATTATAACTGACATACAGTATTATATTTCAGGTGTACAACATAGTGATTCAATCTTTAAAAAAATATTTTATTGATTTTGTACAGAGAGGAAGGGAGAGAGATAGAGAGTTAGAAACATCGATGAGAGAGAGTCATCAATCAGCTGCTTCTTGCACACCCCCTACTGGGGATATGCCCGCAACCAAGGTACATGCCCTTGACCGGAATCGAACCCGGGATCCTTCAGTCCCCAAGCCGACGCTCTATCCATTGAGCCAAACCGGTTTTGGCAGTGATTCAATCTTTATATTTCTTACGAATTGATCACAATATGTCTATTAACAATCTGTCACTACATAGTTATTACAATGTTATTGACTCTTTTCCCTATCTGTACATGACATCCATATTATCTTTTTTTAAAATATATTTTTATTGATTTCAGAGAAGAAGGGAGAGGGAGAGATAGAAACAGCAAATATAAGAGAGAATCCTTGATCAGCTGCGTCCTGCACACCCCACACTGGTGATAGAGCCCACAACCTGGGCATGTGCCCTGACCGGGAATCGAATGTGACCTTTTAATTCATAGGTCGACGCTCAACCACTGAGTCACCCCGGCCGGGCTATCTTTTTAATCCTCATAAGGAGTTTATGTTATTGATCATCTAAGCATAGAATGATCACCTGTAGAGCATCCCAGATATCTATCTGGCCAGCTGTAACAGACTTTGGAAGGAGGGTGGGGACTTAGAGAACAATGCTCTGGACATACTGTCCTTTTCCAGAAGGCTTTGGCTTTAAGAAAAGCTATCACTTGCCTCAGTTTCCCTTTTGTGAAATTGAGCAAGGCGTTGAGGGCAGAAACCTGCTGCTGTGTGTGGCTTCAAGTGAGCCTGACTGGTCACTCACATAAATGCTCAAGATCCATAATGAAATTGCTCTAGGGACCTTGCAGGTCTCAGCTGCAGCTGTGGATTTTTCTCCTCCTTACACTGTTATGGAGAGAAAAACAACAGGTGTTGTTTTTTCCCTTATTTTTTTTTTCAATTAGAGTTTACTTTTAATATTATTTTGTATTAGTTTCAGGTATACAACATAGTGGTAAGCCAACCATATACTTTACAAAGTGTTCCCCTGATATTTCCAGTACCCACCTGGCACCATATGTAGTTATTACAATACTAAAAGCCCAGCGTGCGAAATTGCATGGCCCGACCATCCACACATCTTGCTGTGCTCCTAGCCCCGCCCACCCACGTGCACCTCGCTGGGCATTCAGCCTCCTGGTGACCGGTCTTTGGTCGTTACGACATCATGACCACTGGGTTTTTATTGTATATATTATTGACTGTATTTCCTATGCCGCATCTTACATCCCCATGACTATTTTTGTAACTAAGAAAAGCAACAGGTTTTGTGGGTAGATTGAAGCCTATGGTCAATTTTGAGTTCATTGTTGTGTACAGTATGAGGAAGGGGTCCCACTTCATTCTTTGGATATGGATGTCCAGTTGGCTCAGCACCACTTGCTGAAAGGAGCTATTTTATCTGCCTGTTCAGTGACTGTCCCTCACTATGGTCCTTTCTCACTGGTTAGGTAAACACATGGTGTCAGGCTGAGAGACTAGCACTCACCAGTGACACAAATAGTACAATAAATGGCAGGGATTTAAGCTTTGGGGTCTGGGAACTTCATACAACTGACTTTAGTTCCCAGACCAGTTTGTTTATTTGTTTGTTTGTTTATTTAGACCAGTTTATTTTGAAGTGGTAATAAGTGACTTAGCATTAATAATTTTAAAGCCCTGAGGAAGAGAGACAGCTATACACATGATAGTCTACATGATCCTGTCTCAGCCAGTGTTCTGGGAAAGAATTAAGCTCTGATGCTCTTAGGCATCCATTGTCTATAGTAAGTAAATCTCTCTCCTTTTCATCTAGAGTGGTCTTTACTCTGTATTCTCTTTTGGAAAAATGAGCAAAGAATCACAAATTATTTTCTTAATTCTCTATCAGAACACTGGTTAAGAAAGGCACTCCTTTTATCTCATGTGATCACTTGTCTCATGCTCTTTTCTCTCAGAGCTCTTCTCCTGTTTTCTCTCATCGAGTTATCTCTTTTCACTCATTATCCTGTACTGCCTTTTCTTCTCTCACACTCCTCTTATCTCACGTGATCTCTTTCTCTCTCCTGTACCCTCCTCATTTCACGTGATACTTGATCCTACTCATTGAACTCTTCTTGTGCCCTCTTCTCTTCTTGCATGATCTCTTCTCCCCCAACACTTCTCGTGTGATTTCTTTTTAACTCTTCTCTCGAGATCTCTTGCTGATCTCTTCTCTTACTTCTCGTGTGATTGCTTCTTTCTCACCCATCATACCATATTTTTTATTTTGATTTGCAAGTGTTAACTGTTAGTATGTTGAAATTATTTTGATTTTTGTATGTTAATTCATCCTGCAAATTCCTTTTTATCCATACTGAAATCACTTATTAGTTCTAGCGGATTTTGTAGATTACTTGGGATTTTCTACATAGACCATCATGTCATCTGCAAATAGAGACAATTTTATTTCTTTTCAAGATGTGTACCTTAATACCATTCCTCACATTATTGTGCTGGCTAGGATTTCTAATATTATCATGAAAATGGCCATGAAAGTGGAAATCTTGTCTTGGTCCTAATCTTTAGAGGGAAAACATTCAGTTTTTCATTAAGTATGACAGCTGTAGTTTTTTTTAAAAAAATATTTATTGTTGAAAGTATTATATATGCCCTCTTTCCCCGCACATTGACTTCTAGCCCTCCCCTGTCCCCTGTCCCCTGCCCCAGGCCCTCAACACCTATTGTCTGTGCCTATGGGTTATGCACATATGCACACAGGTCTTTGGTTGATCTCTTCCCACCCACCCTCCTCCCCTGCCTTCCCTCTGAGATTCTACAGTCTGTTACATGCTTCTATGTCTCTGCATCTATTTTGTTCAATTTATTTTGTCCATTTTTGAATTGCCTCCTTCTCCACTATCCAGTCTGGGATCTATGAAGCAAAAACAATAAAAACAACAAAAACAAAAAACAAACAAACACAAACTCCCAAGACACACAAATTATTAACAACAATTTACTGCAATTCCCTGAGTATTGAATTCCCTAGCCTTCTCCATTCCACTTTTTGGAGCCATAATGTTTTATACATTATGTCCAGGGTTTTAACTGTATGTACTTACTGGAAGGAATAGAGAGAAGTATATCTTTTCCATCTTGTCCTGAAACCAGAAGTCCAATCTATGTATTTTAAAAAGTAGATTTTGAAGCCCCTTCTCTGCATATATATGGATGAAAAATTAATCATCATATTTGTTGGGGAAAGGAGTATGTATGTCTTATACAGATTAGCAGAGTGGCTGGCTTAGAGGATATTCTCAGTGAATATTAATCATATCCCTACAGTGGTCACAATGCATATCAGTTGAGTTTCTCTGGCCTACAACCCATCTCCCAATGATTACAAATATTGTTCAGGGGAACTTAAATTGCCATTTTGCTCTATGATATTCAGTATTTCTTGCTGTGGAATATAAAGTTGTAGGTTATACAGCCATGTTGATTTATTATCCCAACTGTGGACAGTTTTGAGGGAGGAACGGGGTGCTAAGAATAATTAGGGCCAGACAAGCAGTGTAAGCAGAGACTGTAATGGACAAAGTGAGATATATAGTCAACTTATTTGTACCTATTGAATGAGTTTACTATTGACTTAATTTGGAAGTACAAGTATTGAAACATTTCTGTGTATTTCTCAAGTGCTACAGATATACATGCTGGTGTATGCACATGCACATGCTCACTCACACTCAGGCATTCATGTCTCATAATAAAGGCATAAAGGAGAGTTATGGGGATTGGTTAAATTAATATAGGATCTTTGCTAAAGAGAATGTTCTATTTTTACCTTCAGACTAGTTCACGGCGGCCACCTGCAGGTTTTTTTTTTTTTTTAATGCCATTAATGCTTACACAAAAAGGGCATTGCAGTTAATATGGTTTGTCCAGAAGAAATACTTATTAAAATATCCTGGAATAAATGGAATGCAGAATGTTTATAAAGGCCTTTTCAGATTCACAGCCTTTCTTCAAGTTATAAAATAGAAATTACTTCAGGTGTCAATAATTCATCCTGACAACTTTGTTTTATTTGGGGTGTGTCTGCCTGCCTGCTTGTGTACATACGATTTTATTTTTGGAGCCCCTTGTTAATTTAGCACTTCTCATGAATCAGACAGTCTTGACAAGGGTCCAGACCTCTAAGTTTTATTTCATTGAACTGTTTGTACTTTTTGTAGACAGTCTTCCAAACAGAAGAAGGCTATTCAAACTGCTATCCGCAAAAATAAAGAGGCAAATGCAGTGCTGGCCCGGCTGAACAGTGAACTCCAGCAGCAACTCAAGGTAAGGAAGGGGCTTTCTGATTTTGGATTACCAGGCTTTCACCTAGTTGTTTTGACCATTAACTGAGCATCTGGTTCAGTTACCATCATTCCTGTTGCTAAGACTTGCTTCTTTGTTCTCAAACTCCTTTTGGAAGGCAGAACATGGCTGTATTTTAGTTTCATGGGTTGGTTCTTGAATGCTTAGAGGAAGACTAGTAACTTTAATATGTAGGCGGCATATTGTGTTTGTTAAAAGGAGAGAGAATCTTTTACAAGGGCGATTTGAAGCATTCATTGTAGTCTGAAGGTTCTGGATAAAAGCTTACTTGTTTAGGTCTACCCTGAATGATGCTATACTTATTTCAATGGGGGAAGGTGGTCCTAATACTATCAAAGGCCAGCCCCTCTCCCAGTACCTTGGAAATGGCTCCATATCACCTTGTCAAGGATATTACCACTGTTCTTATCATCTGTGTCCCTTCATTATTAATCTCCCCTGTTTTAGTTTTGCAGTGCTGCCACATCCAAGTACTACAAAGTGGGTGGTGTAAAAGAACAGAAATCTAGTCTCATAGTTCTGTAGGTTAAAAGTCTGAAATCAAGGTGTCATCACAGCCAAGCTCACTCTCGGGAGGCTCTAGGGGAGAACCCTGCCGTCTTCTTCCCAGTTTCTGGTGGGGGCTGGCAGTGCTTGGCTTGCAGACACATCACTCCGATTTCTGCCTCCACTCTCACAAGACCTTCTCTCTGTCTGTCTCTGTCCAAACTTCTCTTATAGTGTCCTCTAAATATAAGGACACTGTTAACTGGATTAGGGCCCAGCCTACTCTAACATAACCTCATTTACATAAATTAAATAAGTAAAGATCCTTTATCCAATAAGACCATACTTACAGGTACTGGGGGTTAGGACTTAGTAGTAAACATATATTCTCTATTGGCTCATTCCCATCCATACATGAACATGCTCCCTTATCCCTCTTCTGCTGCTGCTGGTCTCTCTGGCCTCCTTCACAGACATGTTTCTTAGGAGTCCTTTCCACTTACTATCTCTGCTTCCTCACCAACAGATTTCTTTCCCTTCACTTCAGTGTGGTTTCCTTCTTCTCCACTCCACTCCTCTTATGGCCAAATCCAATGGGCCTGTTTTAATATTATTTGACTTTTCCAAAGAATTCTACACACTTGGCCGCTCCCTCCTCTGAAGACACTTTTCTAACTGGCTTTTGGAAAACAAAACCTGGCATATTTTTTTTTTCTACTTCACTGGTGCTTCCTCTTTAGCATTCTCTGTTGTCTATTCCTTTTTTAACTTCTCTTTTCTTAACCCCCTTGCCTTGATATTTTATTAAGAACATTCTCAAGCTTCCAAGGAAGTTGAAAGAATTATACAGTAAATTCTTTTATAGCCACCACTTTGGTTCTGCCATTAACATTTTCCTATACTTGTTTTATCACTTATCCATTCCTTTATCTATTCCTCTATCTATAGTCCATCTTATTTTAACATATTTTCTTTTCTTTCTTTTAAAAATATATTTTATTGATTTTTTGACAGAGAGAAAGGGAGAGGAATAGATAGTTAGAAACATCGATGAGAGATAAACATCCATCAGCTGTCTCCTGCACACCCCTCACCAGGGATGTGCCTGCAACCAAGGTACATGCCCTTGACTGGAATCGAACCCGGGACTTTTCAGTCTGCAGGCCGATGCTCTATCCACTGAGCCAAACTGGTTTTGGCTCATTTTAACATATTTTCAAGTAAGTTGAAGAGATCTGTAAATGTGTTCTAAATATTCCAGCATGCATAGCATTAACTAGAGTTTAATATTTTTACAGTCATTTCTTATGATGTAAATTTCATATACATTGAATACACAAATCTCGAGGGTACATTTGTTTAAATTTTAACAAATGCATACACTTATAGAGCCCAAACCCCTGTTAAGATTCAGAACACTCCCATCATCCCGGAAAGCCTCCTCTTGCTCCTTCCCCATCAATTCCGACCCCACTCTCAACATATACTTTTCTGTGAAACTTCTTTCACTTAATATTGGTTTTGAGGTTCATTTATACTGCTTTATGTGTCAATAATCTGCTTTTTATTGACGAGTAGCATTCTATTGAGTGAATATGCCACGATTTGGTTATCAATTGTCACATAATGGACACCTGAACTGTTTCCAATTTTGAGCTATTTTGTATAAAACGGTATTTTCAATCAGTCTTGGTGTGCAAATACATTCTCACTTCTCTTGGGTAACTACTTAGGATTAGGGTTTGTAGGTTAGGTGGTGACTATATGTGATTAGTTTTATTAGAACTTCTAGAGTTTTTCCCAAGTGGCTAGAGCATTTTGTATTAACCCTCATTAATATAGCAGAGTTCCAATTGTTCTACATCCTCATCAACATTTAGTGTGTTACTCTTAGTTTTAGCCAGTCCTCTGGTGATGTCATTTCAATTTCTCATCTTCTTGATGCTTATGTTGAGCACTTTTCTATGTGATTCATATATTTATGAAGTGCCCTTTCAAAATTTTGGCCCTTTTAAAAATTGAGTTTTTAGTGCTTTGTTTTATGAATGCTTTTCCCCCAGCCTTTATTTTACCTGTTCATTTTCTTAACCATGTCTTTTCATGAACAATATTTTGAAATTTTGATAAAGTATAATTTATAATTTTTCTCTTATAATTATTACTTTCTTCGTATACAAGGAAACATTGCCTGTATCTAAATTATGAAGATACTCTCTTATGTTTTTTTCCTTCAGGCTTTATTGTAATATGTTTATTAAAAATTTGCTATAAGGGTAGGATTTATGTTAAGTGTTCTTATCACATACACAAATAATAATAATAAATAAAGATGGTAGGAGGGAACTGAAATCCCCATTTATCCCATCCCGCCTTGGCAACCACCATTTTACTCTGTTTCTATGAATTTGCCTTTTTTAGAGTCTACATATAAATGAGATCATACAGTATTTGTCTCTCTCTGTCTAATTTATTTCACTTAGCATATAGCTGCATGGTTTATCCATGTTGTCACAAATGGCAGGATTTCGTTCTTATTTGTGGCTAAATAATATTTCATTGTATGATCTGTCTTGTTCTTTGCTGGTATGATCACACCTAGAGCAGAATCTGGCCAGTAGTAGATAAATCCCAGATTGTTAGATGGGTGGGTAGGAGGGTGGGTGAATAAATGCTAAGAATGCCTTTGTGTGTCTCCCTCTCTCCCTGCCAAAAAATCTGTTTTAGGGATGAAAAAAATGAATTCCCAAATAGCATTTTGCTGATCTTCTTTTCTGCCTTTCACCCAGAAGTCATACCTCAAGCCATATTTTGCCCAGCAGCCTAGATGAGACTTTGGTAGAGGGCCATCCAAGTGTACTTTTTCATCCCTCTAATCTGACTGAGTATGGTGTTGGATTAGAAACAAGAGATTGAATAGAAGTTAAGTCCATGATGGCTTCACCTCTCAGTATTAGGAGTCTACTTTTGCTTTTCTTTCTTTTTTCTTTTTTTAAATATATTTTATTGATTTTTGACAGAGCGGAAGAGAGAGGGATAGAGTTAGAAACATTGATGAGAGAGAATCATCGATCAGCTGCCTCCTGTGCACCCCCCACTGGGGATGTGCCCGTAACCAGGGTATATGCCCCTGACGAGAATCAAACCTGGGATCTCTCAGTCCGCAGACCGAGGCTCTATCCACTGAGTCAAACCGGTTTCGGCTACTTTTGCTTTTCTACTCACTTCCTAATCAATCTTGTAATGTTTTACATTATTCTCTGCCAGTCACTGATCCTGTTAAAACCGAAGGTGAGATTGAGATTGTGGCAGGTGTCTATGTGTGTCAGTCAGTTCCATTTCATCATCCTCAGAAAAAAAGTTAAGAGATTTCAAAATCTGAAGCTTCCTTTGACTAATCACCAGCTATAAACATGATACCTTCCAGTACACACGTCCTTGAGTTATACGGTACTTAAGTCTTTATGGGTCCAGTTATATTCTTTTTTAATATCTCATGAACTAAGGGTGAACCCAGGAAATGACCCATTTGCTTTTTTCCTCTTTTCTCTGCTTTATATAACTCAGGAGGTTCATCAAGAACGGATTGCATTGGAAAACCAATTGGAACAACTTCGTCCAGTCACCGTGTTGTGACCCCAAGATCCAAGTAATAGCGGGTGACCTTTTCTGCCAAGATCTTTCCTTTAACTGTTTCAAACCAACTACTTGTCATAGATGTCTGACTGTCAAAAAGCTGTGAGCAGTGGGATAGAATCCATGTCACCTTTACTCTTACACTTGTGTACTTTGCTGTGATGAAAATATATAACTGATTATCACACTTGAAATTGTAATTATCAGTGGAATTTTCTCTCTCATTCTTCATTACTTTCTTGAGATGTTAAATGTTGCTCCTTAGCAAAAATCAACTTTCTAGCAAATGACAATGTAGAGCATTATTTATTTAAAGAATTTATGATTTGTAAAGACCTTATAATCCAGTACCTTTAGGATGCTTGTTTTACTTTTGTATGTATATCATGTACAGTAGGTTAGTTTCCTGAATAATTGGAATTCTAACTTTGGCATGGTGATTATAATAAAATAAAATAAAATAAAATAAAATAAAATAAAACAAAAGCTTCAGATTTAGATTGGCACTGTGCCCTCTATCACCATATGCCAAAATTTGCTTATCTAGTGCCATTTTGATTTTATCTAGCTATAAGTAATATATAATTATTGTTTTCTACTGAATGTCAAAGACTTACTCAGTCTTTAAACCTCTGTAAAGTGGAAGTTTTGTCAGTGATCTATTTAACTTGGCTTAGCTAGGCTGTCAACCCAGATAACTCAGTCTTTTCATGTAAATTTTTAGGCAAGAGCAATGTACTTTTACTGCTTCTCCTAATCATATTAAAATAGTTGTCAGATCTCTTACTTTTATCCTGCATGGGAAAACATATCTGTAAATGCATGAATTTGGAAACTACCCATCAAATATGAAAGGCTGATGAGACTGTTTGGATTGATAAACATTTGTTGTTGGAACCCAGGTATTCAAACTGGGAAAGAAGAGGGAAAATGGTTGTTACTAACTATTCAATCTCTAGTAATTTTTTTGTCTTTGTTATTGTAACATGGAATATGAGTATATTGGATGTGAAGAAATAATGAAAAGAATCCAATTCTGACACTGGATATATAAGTATTTGGTTCTATGTTAAGCATACTCTTAGGAAGTGATTGGTTTATGTGTAGTGACGAAGGGCCCAACTGACTCCAGTGTAAGTGAGGTAAAACAGTGATCTCAAATTGCAGAAGTCAGTATCCTATAGAAATTCTGATAACTGCTGCTTCACCTGAAAACTCAAGTTGAAAATGGGAATTGTCCAACCCTCACAGGGATCAGGGCACATCAGCTTTAATATCACTTTGAGAGACTGATGGCAAGAAAAGCTGTCTCTTACGCCTTTTGCTGCTTTACCCATTCTTAGAATAGAGGGGTGGGGTGTGCCTACGGTCCTTTTTGAAGTGATTTGGAAAGGTTTATAGCTGTGAGATTGTCTTTGACTTCAATAGAGTTGACAGCTTTTAGAAAAGTAGGAGTTTATTTAATGTTTCCTTATTCCATTGTCAAGCTTTATCAATGGCTTAATGACAGAAATAAGGCTTAAACAGATGATGTTTTTCCAACAAAAAACAAATTGTTGATTTTGTTCTGTGCATATTAAAGGTTTTTGAATTGGCTTGATTTTAAAAATCAGAAATCTTGAAGTCTTTCTCTATTTCATACATTTTCCTTCCCCTTTTGGTCTCTGCAGAAAGGGTTCAGAATCAGTTTAAACCCTTCCTGAGGTCATGAATGGGTCAGTGCAAAATTAACCTTTTCCCCATGTTCTCAGTTCTGGGGACTGCAACAAATTTTTATCAATAGTGTCCTTGTTGCAGACATTTTATAGCATGTTTGACTTTTGTTTCATTAAATCCAGGAGAGAATAGCCTATGCACTTTATCCCGTAATCTTCCAGTATATACACATTCACTCGAGATAGCACTTCATATACATTAAACAGACATATAAACCAAGGAATGTTATATGATGTACTTTTAAAAAATATTGACATTTTCCCCCATCAAGCCAAATTGGGTTGGGATTTTGTTTAGTTGGTTTGGTTTTCATTAAGGGAAAAAACTTGCATCAGACAATCAAAGCTCCATGAGTTGCATAGCCTCACCAATATTTTAAGATAGACATTTCATTAAAGCACATACCAATAATATCTATACCCAGTTTTCTTGACTGGATTTTTAGTGACCTCTTCTATAAAACTACTCCAAAATTAGATCTGCTTGTTGGGCAGAGTTCTGTGGACAGAAGGCCATGTTGCCCCCATCTGCGGGGATTTAATAACCTTGTTGGTAAGTGGTGGTCCTTCATAGATGTCCCGTAGTCCCAAGGATGAAAGTACAGTAGGAGTTGATAGTGGGCCTATTAGATACCTTAGTGTCTCTTGTTTATGGCATATTGCTTTTGTCACCTCCCTATCCAGTAGACATGGAACAAAACCCAAAGGTAGATCTGAAATAGAGGCACGTGTTGTCATCAATGCAGATATTTGCTTTAATTGGAAAGATTAAACTGCTTTATTAATATTAGAGAAGTGCTTTAGGCCTGATTGGGAGAGGAGATAGCTTAGCTGGAAGCTATGCCCATTTTACTGTCATTGGAGAATTAAGATGTCTGACCTCTGAGGACCTGTACCCATCTCTTGCTGTTTGCTTATGTAATTCAAGACCCTGAGAAACCACAGTTCCTAGCCCAAGGATCCACAGATTTAGTGGCAGAGTTGGGATGCCCACCTGATTTATAGATTCTGAGTTAACTCCTTGATCCTCTAGTAATATTAAAAACAGATTAGAAGATTTCTTCTATTTACCTTGTTGAATTTTATGTACTTAATTAATCTTAAAATATTAAAACATGTTTTAATGATATTAGTTCTAGATGTTTCTCATGGATTGAAGCAAAAAAAATATGAAGGGAAAGAATATGATTAACTATTTGTTCTTTTGAACACCTCACCTTTCATGATGCAATAAGTTACTCTGAGTTTTTTTGGCAGAACTTTTGAGAGCTGTTGCTTTGAATGGATTCCATTCCTGTATTCCTTATGGGAGTTTGTTTTTAAATAAACCAGAAATGAACTCAATATGTAGTAAGTTAGTTTTCTTCAGTATATCTTATGTTACTTGGTTGCAAATGTTCAATTTCAGCATAGGGCAAGTAATCAAAAACATGAGTTTTCCTTTGATTTATACCAATGTCTAAGCTATCATAAAGCATCCTTCTCTTCATATGTGACTTGATTCTATAGTCTGTTTCTAAATGATATTGTCTATTTCTTAAATGATATCACACTCATGGTAATAATAGATGTGTATTCAGAAGATCAATAAGAAAGTAATCTGGAATGGATGTGTTTTTTTTTTTGCAGTTAAGGCAAGCTCTTGCAAATGCCTTCTAAGCAGTAGTTTGAAAATTTCAATTACAGTATAACACCTTAGAGCTAAAAACATTTGTTCAACACAAACTAGAATCACACCTCCTGGCTAGATATCGCCAAGGGAAATGTGATTCTAAACATATAAAAAATGATTTTCAAATATCTTAGCAACCAGTTCTTTCCATATTGACAAGTAGTACTCAGTAGGTTGTAGCTTGAAAATTATGAATGTGTGAACAAAATGAAATATCAGTTGTTTTTAGTTAAATAGAACAGTACTAACTTTGGTTTCTCTTTCCAATTGGTTTATTCTGTTTTAAGTGTACATTTTTAAAACTGTAATCAAAGGATTACTTGAATTTACACTTCAGTTATTGGTGTTCTTGTCATGATTCTTTTTGTACCATGACTTAGTGTGGAACAAAGTAGACATTGGAGTTTTTGGATTCCTGAGATGGCATATCTTGCTTCTGTTTTGGCACAGGCTAAGGGGAGGTGCCTGCCAATGCCAACAGATAAATCATTAATGGATATTTGAGTGTGAGACTTACTCTATGAGCCACCCTACTTTGCTTGTTTGTGTTGAGAAATGCATCTAGTTATGGACCCTCCCAAGAGCAACTATAAGAACAGTAGACATAGAGGGCCAGACTTTAAAAGCAATACAAGCAGATTCTAAGAGCTGCTTCCCTCCTCAAAAATAGGCTTTGAGAGGCTGACTTACAAGTGTTCCTTGAAACATCAGTCTGTTAATGTGAGCAAGACATTCCAGGTATATTGTTGCTTTTAAGCTTCTGTGATTATTTTCTACATTGACTAACACACATGATATTAAAGGAACCGTTTCTAAAAGACATTGCAGGGTTTCCATTGAGATGACTTGTTCAAGTTATAGAAGCCTTGGTCTGCTTTTAACAATTGAGGGGTGTTCATTTTTCATGTTTTGTGAGTTTTATCTCACACTAAGCTAAATTTATGGCTATGTGAGATTGGAAAAAGTGGGTTTATGACTCTGAAGACCAGAGGACATTGGCATGAATTGGAATTTGGGGACTACAGTAAGGAAACATAGCTCCACTATGCCCTAGGGATGGAACAGTTGACACAATAAACTCATTATATTATGATTAGATCAACTGAATTGTGTTCTTTTGTTTTGTTTTAAGGCAACTTGTGTGAGGGATTCAGTTGCACCCACCCTGGCAACTGGGTGTACCTTTTTCTTTAGCACTACCATTCTGTTTTTCTTTAGGCCAAATATGTTCAAGTGAGCCACAGGAGGGAAGAGCCACTTTAGTTTTCGTAGCAATGGGCCAAAAGAGAGAATGAGCTGATGGTCTATTTTAACCTTGAAAGTAAAAAATCTATATTTTTTCATGACAGGTACATTGAACAGTAAAACAAGTAACAGTAAAGTATATATTTTATGCCTTCTGTGTTTTCATGAGTATGTGCTAATAAGTTGTGTTAATATTTTACTCAGCTACAGTCTCATTCATTTGCTAAGCACTGGGAATATTATCTATATTGATCTTAAATGTAAATAAACATACGGTATCCTGTATTTGGATTGTGACTTGTAGATTCCAGCTAACATTTACTGCCTCTTTTTCACACTTGTTGGAAAGTATGTGAAGAACATAATAGGTTAAGAATCTCCAGCTTTGGAAAATGTACATGATGTGAAACTGGGGTGCTATGTTAAAAATAAATATATGGTAACTAATTGTGGCTTTTATGGAGTCTTGGTGTCAGTATATTTATTGTCCGTATTTGGAAGAGAGAAACATCAACGAGAGAGTATCATTCACCGGTTGCTTAATCCCTTCAAAAAAAAGGTCCTATTTTAATGCCTGTAGTGGGAGTGGAAGTAAAGAGGAGGGATCAGGAAGAGTTGGCTTGAAAATTCTGATCCAGTAATCTGGTACCCCGGCAGTTTCTCACATTTAAAATTTAAATGATTTTGGAGGCACTAGTGTCCTATCAGGTGGTTTTTGTTTTTTCCCCCCTCCGTAATGTGAATGCCAGTGATGGGCCAACATAGAATATTTCTAATCTGGTACCAAATGCCAAACTAACTTTGGGAAAATCATCTATGATTTGGCTCACAAGCTTAACACTGGAGATTACCAGGCCCTGACATTTCCCAAGCACTGGTGAGGATCACTGGGTCACTCACTTTAGAGATAAAAGAGATCTGAGATTATCTAGGCTAGTGTTTCCCAGATTAGCAGTATCAGCATTATCAGGGAATTTATTAGAAATTCAAATTATTTGCCGAAGCCGGTTTGGCTCAGTGGTAGAGCATCGGTCTGCGGACTGAAAGGTCCCAGGTTCAATTCCGGTAAAGGGCATGTACATTGGTTGCGGGCACATCCCCAGTAGGGGGTGTGCAAAGCTGGTTGATGTTTCTCTCTCATCGACGTTTCTAGCTCTCTATCTCTCTCCCTTCCTCTCTGTAAAAAAAAAAAAAAATCAATAAAATATATTTAAAAAAAAAAGAAATTCAAATTATTTGAACCCATCCCCATTTAATCTGGAACTCTGGGAGTGGGTCTGGTAATCTTAATATAAACAAGCCTCCCCCCAGTGATACTGATGCTCGCTCACTGGAGTTGAACTGACCTAGCTAACCTCATTTTACAGTCAGGGAAACTGGTCCAGAGAGGCAAAACTGACTCATTAGGGTCTCAGCTAATTCAGAGCAAAGGATAAAAATGTGCCCAGGCAGACTTTCTTCTGTGCTACCATGTGCATTCATGAAGTTCCCTTTCCTGTACTTCCTTCCACAGATATTTACTATGCCCCTACTTTGTGTCAAGCACTATGATAGGAGCTAGAGATGAGACCTCCAAGACATAATCCCTTCCCTTAAGGAGCTCACAGAGACCTACAAATGATTTTCAAAGCAGCATGAAATAGGTGATAGGATGTATTAGGGCAGTGTTTTTCAACCTTTTTTGGGCAAAGGCACACTTGTTTCATGAAAAAAATCATGAGGCACACCACCATTAGAAAATGTTAAAAAATTTAACTCTGTGCCTATATTGACTATATATAAAGTAATTCTCTTGAATAGGAATCAAATAAACACAAAGAAAGTATTTTATAATTACTTTATTATGAAATATTAAGTAAACAAAATAGTGAAAAATTATAAAATTCTTGTCTTGTCTGCACCTACGGCACACCAGGCAACATCTCGCGGCACACAGCGGTTGAAAAACGCTGTATTAGGGTAAGCTAACTGCTGTAACAAAGTACTCTAAGTATTCAATGGCTTGGCACAGTGAAAGTTGATTTCTCACTCACCTTTAGTCCATAGTGGATGTTCATAGTTTTGCCATTTTCTTTGTGGTTATGCAAGGAACTACAAAAGATTCTCCTGTGGACAAAATAGGTTGATGTGGAGTGCAGAGTGGGGGGAAATGGCAAGAGTTGTACACAAGCCTGGATGGGAAGGCCTTACACGAGAAGGCACAACACACCCTGAGATTACGCCTCCCTTTCAAGATTTAAGCACAAATTCACGAAGTCACTCCATTCATCTTCAAGGAGTGATTTG